CTTGTGTTGCTGTCAGCGATTATATGCTGTTTTTATGTAAACCGGTATTCATTTGTTGGTCAAGTACGTTGAAAGTGGGTGAGAGCTGCATGGGCCTTCAAAGTGGGATGTTGGTTCTTATTGGGATCAGCAGTACAAGCCCTTTCACATTATTGGGAATCACATATAATCCATATAATATAAAAAATACATAACATTTGCTTACTCCTGCTCCACTTGTAAAACCAACAGCCAACCGTTATAAAGACTTTTTAATGTAATTAAAACACACAGGCAGTAAGTTATACTGCTGTGAAAGCACTGTTAATTTCTCTGTATGATGTCAGATATGATAGGAAAAAAAGTCTGTTCAAATACTTCAGTGAAAATAATTGCTTGGTGAGATAAACACTAAGTGAACCCTAAAAGCACATTTTTAAGAAGCATATCACATTTAACCAAGTGTGACCATTTTAATCACAAATTACATGTGAAGGATTATACGCTGCTGTTACACTCCCTTAAATAAAAGATAAATCCTGTATAAGCATGTTTTCTTACATGATTAATGAACCACACACACAAACACTAACACAACAACAAGTTTTCTTCACACTGACATGTGAGGTCATTTAAAAACTCATTTAAATCTCCAGCTTATCTACCCACTGTGCTGTTTTATTGTGCATTTGTATATTTCTAACTCACTCCTTATCACCATGGTTTAATGCAAAACACAGGCCTGTCCTGAGAGGTCAGAGAATGGACGTTAACGCGTTCCATGACACGGAGTCTTGGATAAGGAATATGAAACAGAGCCCAAATTGTGAGCTTTTAATAGGCCGTGTTCCTATTGGATTTATCCTCTGTGAGTGGACAATACACTGCTATTAGGTCAACTTCCTCTCTGCCCAACTTCCATCTTTTCCTGTGCCTCCTTCCTTTCCATTCACTCTATCAGGCTGTCTCTCTGAACAAACGCTTCCCCCAATCTCTATTTCCTAAGGCAGCACAATTTTGTACAGCAACCGGCAAGCACTATTTTATGAGGCCAGGGAGAACAAGGCCTCATCACATCAAATAAGGCCACAGTTGGTGGTTAACATCCATCACATGCCATGCCTTTGTGTCCAATCTTTCACAGGGTTTAGAGTTATTAGGTCAACTGATGAAAAGTAGAGGGGAACCTATCCGAAAGAGTGTCTCATACAATAGAGTGAGCTTTCTATTCACCACAGGCGCCTTCTTGGATAAACTGACTGATTACTCATTGGTGGTGATGTAGATAGATACACCCCTGCTGTGTAAACTGCTTTGAACACAGAAAGGCATCATAATACAACAGAGCATTTCAACATGAAATAATAAGGCAAACGTAGTTGATGCTAATTAAGGCTCCATTCCATTCAGGTCTAACAGAGTCAGGGTGATGCTATTGTGCACGCTGTCTCACTAGAAAAGACTCAAAAACCTTAGTTAGTATTTTTGGTAACGCCTGTGTTTACCTTACTATTTCATGTCAAAATGGCTGCCGGGGGAAAAGATACTGCACTCGAGTCTGACATGCAAACACAGTATTTGCATATAAACTTCATGTCTGTGCAGGTGACCGCACAGACTAACATTTGGGGACGGCGTTTGTTTTTGCCTCTGAAAAGGACAATACAGTCACTACAGTCTCACAGCGCCTCAGCCATCAGATTCAGAGCTTAAACTTTACTGCTGTGTCCCACGAGAGACCCCGTTGTCCTGGGTGGAATGCAAGTTTAGGAGTGACAATGATATACCACTACTCGGTGACCAAAAAGAGGCGACGTGCCAAAACGCAACTGGCAAAGTAACATGAGAACAAAGACACTCAGACATGTTTTATTAACTGGGCAGCGCTCTGGAAACGAGCCATCGTGTCCGAGACAAACGGCTATTTTGAACGGATGCGTGCGGATTTGAGCAGGTCGCATGTGGCGGCTGAGAGTGACTCAGCAGCGTTAGTGCAGAGAAGTTGAAAGCAAAGTTCCACCGTGAAAACCCGGCTCACAGTCTCCAGCCCCTTCATTGTCCTGAGGCCATAAAGACTCTATTGTATCACATGACCCAAAGCCCTGAGGGATTACTGAATGAGACGTGAAGGTCTTCAGGAGAGTGACCCAGCAGCCTCATGCACTTACATTACCTGAAGCTGAAGAGAGACGGTGGAACTGGATGAGCGTACACTACGTATATATAAAGGCATATGATCCACAATGACAGCTGACATGCTGGCGAGTGCAGACACCTGGTGAGGCATGTCATGAATAGGCCATGCTGCTGTTCTTAATGTAGGAATTTAAACATCGTATACAGTACTGTCAATAACAGCCACGGGAAATTCATCTGTGACGTACGTGCTCATTTTTATCTGCTTGATGTGTGTGTGTATATATATATTTATCCTTTCCTCTCTCATTGGTTTCTACTTGAAAGCCCTGCACGCTCACACAGGTGTTTTTATGTAACAGCTCAGTAGGCGTCTGCTGAGGTAGACACTGGGCGGAGCTGGAAGTTGGAAGATCAATGGCGCACAGTCCGTGTGCGCACGCCAATGCAGTTTGGAAAAGAGGTGTAATCAAGCAAAGTGAGACGCCTGGCAGATCACGCACATTATAGACCTCTTTCACAGCAGCCATTCTGACATGAAATAGTAGGGTAAACAATTATACTAATAAGGTTCTGCTCCATTCAGTGTCATAGAGCCTGTCCAGTGAGCCAACATACACAACAGCAGCTCCCTGAATCTGTCTGACCTGAAGGAAACACAATCGTATTAGTATCAGTATCCTCTGTAGGGAGTGTTAACAAAGCCGAGGCCTTTCATGTGCCATATGGCAACTACGAGCTTTTTTACACAAGACATTTTGACATGTGACAGTAGGAAAGAACAGTACATCATAAAATGAATGGGACGTCTCACTGAGACTCTTTCATAGAACATGGTAACCCATGTCATTTCCCTTTTATAAGTCAAAATGTCCGCTGTGAAACAAGCCTATTCCATTGGGTGAAAGATTTCAGCGCCTGCTCACTGTACCTTGAATAAAATGCCATTGTCGAGCCAATAATGACACACATCTGCTTCTGCCACCCTGCATTGTGTTTAGAATGACACCTGTGCAAACGCTCTGTTCGGAGCAAAAGAACAGAGGGAGGAGTGGTACACTGACGAAAACACTCCCCAGCCAATCCCATAATAACACTGCTTTAAAGTATTGAACGGAGAGGTTATGCAATCTAGAGTTACAAATGGTGCCAGATATCACGGTGCAAATTAGGCAATCTAATCTACACTTCCACTGGCTTTAATGTTTCTTTTTTCAACATATACTTATTTGTTTATGTCCTAATGATGCTGTCGTATAAATAAAAATAAATTTGTCATCACTCAGGCTATACCCTGGCCTGTTTCTGTCCATTTCTGACCCTGTGTCAGTGCATCTGAGCTCCTGTATCTCCACTCTGCTACACACTGAGCTATTCCAGGCCCTTAAACATCTGTGGTCTTACCAGGGGAATGACAGAACTGATAAGCGTGGCTAAGTATAGCTCTAATGACAGGCCACATACAGGGAGAGAAGAGGGCAACGAGGATCAGAGGAAAGTCAAAGTCGAATCAAGTGGCTCGGCTCTGAGCACAGACACCACAACACACGCGTGCATACACAGCCATTAGATCCTTCACGAGGGCGTGCAAACAAAGAGTCAGAGAAAACAGAGGAGAGAACAAGAGCTGTTCAATGCCCACCTTGCTCTGCACTGACTCCCTCAGTCTGTGATTTCTGCCATTTTTACTGAAGTGACTCAACACTTTTCTGTGCTATAAACAGTTGCTTCTAACTTCTTCTCCTCAACATCTTATGTGTTGGCCCCGAGGTTGCCCTTAAGGGGTGTTACAGTGTCTTGGAATGACCGCTATGCACAGCGAAATGCGTATAATGTGTATCTACACACATAGCACACTGATCCTGACGGTTAGGGGCACACATGGAGACAGGCAGACAACAGAGGCAGTCTGGAAAACCCCTCACATACATCGAACCGCAATTTGGGGGGTCTTCGGCAGCCAGGCGCACAGCGGCGACGTTCAGCTGTTGTTGGGGGGAATCAGATTGTAAACACACCCTCAGCCAAGGTGGCGCTCCAGGACCTATGCGAACAGGTGTCCGAGGAACACACACATGGATTGGCGCGGTGCGTGTGTGCGTAAATGCAACCCCACCCAAACACTGGAGCACCAGGGGAGTGCCCAGCTCACTTACACGACGGGGCAATCAGTCATGCCTTATCCTAATGTGTACTGGCGTGTTGATGCCATGGCGCTTTGCACTGTCTGGGCTGTAACAGATCACAGCCTAAAATGGCACACACACACACACACACACACAGAGAGAGAGAGTTACGAGACTTGACTGACAGCAACTTAAGTTGTGGTATAAAAATATGAATATGTGAGGCTGCACTGCGTGGCATAAAAACCCCGGTTAAATTTGAACTCCCTTCAACTACAGAGCCATACAGAGAGACATGGCGAGACATGTGTCAACCAGTACTCCAATTACTACATACTGACATCAGCCTGCACAGCTTCTTGTAACAATTTGTTCTATAATAAGTTACTTTTCATTTGCTTATGACATAAAGGCCTGGTCATCCTCATTACAAGTACAATGACTCTTTGCAGGGCATCTTATGGCTGTGGGGGGTGATGTTGTGGCCTCTTCTGCCTCACTGGGCAGCACAGAGGAAGACTATACTGGCAACCTCATTAAAGGCTGTTTTGAGTTGTCTTCATCAGTTTAATGAAATATATATGTGTGTAGCTACTGTGTTTTGTATCCGCACATTCACAATCAGAGAAATAAAGAGATTTAATACAATATAAATGCAGGCAATATTGGGAACACAGTAACTTTCACTGTTCTCCGGTCATTTTACAATAGTAACAGCACCTATATAACCGGATACATGTACAATGTGATTGCACTTACCTGAGTTATGCCGTTAGAAGCATATTTACAGCCTTAAAGGTGGGTCAGCAAACAGTCCACTTGTTTCGTCGTCTTGTACTTAATAACAACATGTTGTAAAGCGGAGGTAGTCTTTCACTTTCCGTTTACAAACACTCTTTATGCGATTCATTCATGGAGTGAGAGCTAGCCCATAGCCAACAGTCACTGTGCTGCACAAGTTCAATGGAAATCTCTGCGCTTCATGTCAGCTTCTGTGTCGACACCAACCGAATCAACGAGGTGGAGTCCTGTAAGCAATTAAGACGAGTTCACTGGAAAACCGCAAAGTGTTGGGAATTCCTCAAAATTCCCCGAAGTAATGTTACTTCCACTTCTCCATTAGAGGCAGCCCGAGGCGACTGTATCACTGAGCCGCTACTTTAAAGTGTCACGGTGTCAGCCCCGACGACACCGAGCACCACCGAGGGGGGAAAACAACACGCAGCCCGTACGGCCGAACGTAAACAAACTCCGTGAATGACGTGAAACCCCGATACAAAACAACACCTATAGTCTTGTAAACAAAGTAACCCACAGCAGGCAACCGCACAGCACGGACCGACTTCCCAAAAGCAGTTTATCATCCCGACACCGTCCTCTCGCTTCCAGCTGGGCGGAGCGTGGAGATGTCACCTGGGTCTCAAAGGGCGACACTGCAGGCTGACCTCCAAGTGTTGGTTCGTCTACGTCTGCGTGCTGCTGCGTAATAAGACGTTATCTGTAGCTTTAGTATTCATTGAATTGGCTTTTTTAGAGCGTTTTTTTGTTGTTGTTTTTTTTCCGGTCACCTTAAAGCAAAGTAGCTTTTAAACTGGCTGCAGCCTTCCCGCGAGCCCTTGATGTGACGTCAGACCATAATGAGGCGTGTGGTGGTGTGGTGCTCGGTGCACGTGAGAGTGCTCACCACATAGCACTAACGTTGTTACGTCACGTTTGACATAGCCAGCTATTAATGGGGAAAAAAATATTTAATATAAGATAGACTGTATTGATCCCACACTGGGGGAATTCACTCACTACAGCAGCTCCAGATAGGCAACAGTTAAGAAAATACACATTTAATAAAAATGGGATAGAAAAATACAAGATATAATGAAAATACAATAAGAGAATGAGAGTTCTTTGTACACTATATACAGCTTTTTTTTATACAGATGTGATTGAAATTGAATATTGCGGAGTCACATTTGAGTTGCCAGGTTGTGAAAAATCCCTTTAGCTAGTCAAACTGACTGCATGATTAACTAAACAGCTATGGCGGCTTTCACAACCTCTATGGCAACCAAAAGCCTTTCTTTAGTGGTTTATTCCTAATCTATAAAGCATTCTAGAGGAAAGCATTTATTAACCATTAATAAAGCCAAAGTTGCAACGTAAGATTATATCTCTTTCTGAAGGGTGCCATGTTAGAAAGTGGTGCCTAAAGTTGTAACAGCCTATTTACAGTTGTGACAATAAATAGGCTGCTTGTTTATTTGCAGCATATTGGGGTAACGGTGACTATTTTTTGTTGTGACAATAAGTAGGCATAATAAAGCAAGGAAGGTAATAAAGCATGATCTGCTTAAAGGTGCCTTTATCATTTTGCTATATATTCCTAGAAAACTGAAATATGCTCCACTGAAGCTGTAGTGTTAGAAATTACAGACTCATGTGTAAAAAGTATTAAGTAGTTAGTTTGTGTCTCGCCTTCAGTTGTTGTACAAAGTCCCATTTTATGCATTTATTAGTGCTCTATTTTATGGTTACTATGCAGTCACCTAGTGACCATCGAATAGCAGATGTTGTTGGTGGTAATGGTGTAATATTTATTTCATGACAAAAAAGCATGGCTCTTTCGGGTAGGTCCATTTATCCCTGGTTTTACAGTTAGGGTAATCTAATAAAGCATTCCTATATAATCTGTCTAAAATGTACCTAAATTCAGGGTTGAATCATCCCATGGGGCCCCTTTGTAAAATGCCCTGGGCCAATATTGACCCGTATTTGTGGTCTCAGGGACCTTTACAAGACAGGTGGTCAAGGCAGGTAATAAAACAGTACCTGCCTTAAGGCTGAAATCAATTTAGCTGGTATTGTATTTTAGGTGTATGTTCACATCTAATATACTATGATGTTTAGTGCCCCTGAGGGTCTAGCGCCCTGGGGAAGTTGCAGTGTAGCCTTGCCAAAGTTACCCTTAATCACAACAAACAGAACACTAACAAATATGCAACTTTACCAAAAGGCTGAACACTGTTTCTTTATCATGGATATATTTATTTTATTATTTTTTTAGGTTTTACTCGTTCATGTTTTTTTAATTGTGTTTTCTCCTCAATTTAATATTCAGTGCTTCTTCCGTACAATGAGAGGAGCTTACTCAGGGGAAGTTTTTAAAGTATGGGTTTATTAAATATTTTAAAAGGAAACTGAGTCTAAAAGCCAACTTTGAAACCAAAAGTGTTCCTAAAATGAGGGCCTCCCTTGAAGGAGAAAAAAACAACAACAGACTGACAGATTAAAATACCATTTGTGGTTTTACCTTTCGGCCAGCAGAATATGTGCAGTGAACCTGTTATTGACCAACATAACCACCAGAGAGCAGCCTTTTCCCTATTATTGCCTTTGACAGATTACATTTTCAGAGGTGTCCTTCCTCTACATACATTTATTCTCTTTTGCCTTTTGAGTGTCTGTTTGTCTGTTTGTCTGTTTGTCTGTTTGTCTATGTGTGT